TGCTATTTCAAATTTGCATTGGTCTACAAATACGTGACACTCCATATGAAAAACATCTTATATCACAGCATAAAATCAGTGCTGCACATGTCAAAACTGACAGACCTGATGTAGCAATAAAAATTAAGTACACTTAAGAAATCTGCAATATAATGGTAGAGAATTAACCTAAATATAATAAGTAATGCTATAATTAATTATATATTAATGTTTCTTACAAGACCTAGGGAAAGTTCAAAGTCAATATGATTATTACAGTCTACAACGAAAAAGTAAATTGCAAAAAAAAAAAAAAAAAACCACCATGGTAATGTATAAGTTTACTTTCCAACTCCATCCCCATTTTACCTACCATAAACTTTCCCAAGTACATAGTGAGATAGACCACAAGCCAAAAATTAGCAAAAATGTCAAGGTTTTGGCCATTTGAAAACAGTATCCCAACATGTTTATTATTCCCTCATCTCTCACTCTCTTATTTTTTCCCCCCAACTACTGAGGAATTGAACTCAAGACCTTGTACTTGCCAGGCAAGCACTTATGCCACTGAGCTATCTCCCCAGGCCTATTTGCTCACGTCTGATGCCTGCACTTCCTGTTGCCATTCCCCTCCAACTCCAGGCGTCTCAGTGGAAACAGTGCTTCCTGCAGCAAGTCCCGCCAGAGCTAGAGCCTGGCTCCCAGGTGTCCCCCACCGCCGAGGTGCCCACAGCATGAGACTCTTCGCATGACCGTAACCTCCATCAGGACTATAACCTGGCATAAGCTGTGTATGTGATGAGTGACTCTGTGAAACGCTGAGTGAAAAAAGTCTCCATTTTCCTAAGCATTACAGAGATGAATGCAAACACCTCTTACTGACTGCAGTGCACCTGAACTAGGACTATGCCTATTCCTAATTTCAACGTGAGTACCTACTACATAGGGCTATCTTCTACAGATTGTGTTTCACATCCTGTTTCTAATGAATGATATGTTATTCTAAGAGAGGAACCATATTTTACTATTAAGAGCTAAATAGTAAGAGCAGTATATCTAATTCAACTCCTGCCCACACTAGACCCATAAAAAATTTCAAAGATTTTGTTATTGTACTTAAAGAAAAAATATCTACCAATTAAAGAGTCATCAAGACTTTTAAGTAAAAAACAGTCCAACGAGTTTACAAAACTTTGGTGAAATCAATGAAGAAAATATAGAATATTTCCATAGACTGGGCATGGTGGTGCACGCCTGTAATCTCAGCGGTGGGGAGGCTCTGACAGGCAGATCACTAGGAGTCCAAGTTGCACAGCGAGACCCTGTACCAAATAAATAAATGCTTTCTGATAATTTTTGAGAATTTATTCTTAATTTTTCTTAAAATGACCTACGTTGCTATTTAAAAAAGACATTTAAAAAGCTGTTATCCACTAAACAGAATAATTCCCAAATGAGTCCTTCACAAGAGGCAAATTTAATAATACAAAAGGCAAGAGACACTCTTTAAGAACTAGAGCCTTCTGGGCCTGGGGGATAGCTCAGCAGCACAGCACCTGCCTGGCAAGCACGAGATCCTGAGTGCAGTTTTTGATCCAGTACAAGAAAAAAAAAGGTTTTGTTTTAGAAATGTCTATTCTAAACTTGTCATGCTAATCTAACACTACTGAAAAATAAATACAACTGTAGACACCTAAACAGTAAATGAAATTTCATTTACTAACAATACCAAGTACTGACAAAATTGTGGGGTAACTGGGGCTCTTATACACTGCAGGAAAGAAGCAGAACTGAATGGCTACTATAGAAAATAGCTTGGCAGTTCCATAAAAATTATTTATAGTGATAAACCTACAATGATCGCGGGGCCAAATAATCTCACCCCTAGATACTAACTCAAAAAACCTAAAAACTTGTCTCTGACATACCCTGGGGCAAAAGTTTGTAATATCTTTGTGCATAACTGCCCGAAACGGAGAGCAACTCCAAAGTCCATCAGCTGGTGAGTAGATACGCAGTGGTACCTGCAGACAGGGCCCTGCTACTCAACAACAAAAGCAAAAACTCAGCGCTATGCTAGGACAGGTTGGTCCAAGCACACTGATAGATTTTGGATATTTTTTGCAGGCTGGTTTAAGAATCCAAACAAAGGCTAGTTGACAGTGTTCACACGACAATAAATAGCAAATGGACAAATCCAGAATGAGGGAGGGCCAGGTTGTGAAAACACTTATCAGCCCACCACTGAGCAGAGCACACTGCTACATCGAACAGCTGAATGAACATCACAAGCACAGTGCTGGCTGAAAGAAGATATAAAACACAACAAACTCTATGATTTCATTTACGTGAAACTTTAGAAAAGATGAGACTCTAAGCACCTGAATTAGATGACTGCTTACCACGAGAGGTTGAGGGTAGGAAGAAGACTGGCCAAAATGGGCATGAGAGGACCTTCCAGAACAAGGCAAACATTCTACAGCACATCTCCACTGGCAGTGAGGAGTACCCAACTGCGCACAGTTGGAGAAGTTGTACTGTACATGAATTACACCTTCATAAACCTGACTTCAAACAATGAAGGAAAAGCCATTTCTCATTATTAAACAGATCCTAAATGTATCAAATATACAAAGGGAAACTGGAACTTAGCAGAAACACTAAGAAGGCACATCCTGATACAACAAATATTTAAATGTCAAAAAATGAAAAGACTCTGTAATCACAAGAAATACTAAAATCCTGTGAATGATCCTGCCAAAGTGCTATAGCAATAGCTCTGTTTAACTGTGATTACAGACTCATATTAACAGAAGTCAGTATCCCTGAAGTATCTTTCTACTGGCCCCCAAATTCCACAGTATTGGTGGGACACAATCTCTATAATCTCAAATACATTTTCATTCCTATCTAAAACATCACTTAATCACTTACATATCAATTAAGTGCTGTCACTGATTCAAAAAACCAGTAGAACTTGGTTATTAGCAATGCTAGCCCTAGGCTTATAAAATTGGGGCTCAAATGTTGGCCCACTAACATCTGCCTCTCTCTCCATCTGTAGAATGGGATTAATATTTTCCTGGGGTTTCAATAAGTACATATGAAAATTACTTTTGTGTGCTCTTAATCATAAATATCACTTAGACATAATTACAAGCAAAGCATATATTATAATTATCTAACCTAATCCTAAGAATTTTAACTTTCCACAAATTTTGTACTAGAAATTTATCCCTTACTTTTCTTGGAGACGGGAGTGTCACTGTAATGCCCAGGCTGGTCTCCGACACCAGGGCTTAGACATCAACCCTCTTCAGCCTCGGAGGTGCTGGGACCACAAGGCTCTGCCAGGAAATGTATTCAATATTTATATGACCAGTGGTTCATCTTTTGTGGACTCAGTTCCTTTTGAGAAAATGATGACTACATGGTCTCTTTACCCAGAAAAAGTGCAAGGGAACGCTATGTTTTGCATATGATTTCTGTAGACCAAATTTCATTAAACATATGCATAAAATTAAGAATGCCTGGTGAAAACTCTCAAAAGCTACAGAGTTGAAAAGTGGAATTTAAAGAATCTTCCAAGTAGAGAATCTAATTGATACTGAAACGTTACATCCTGATTTAAGTTTTTGGTCAGATATTTCAAGTACCAAGATCAGAGCATCATGATTTCTAATTCAGATTTTTTTTTTGCAGAAATTTCAAGTTAGAAGCATATTTTTCAATGGATCTATTTCACCTCTGGCACAGAAACTTGTAGCAAAAACCTGTATCTCTGGTAACTGGAGACAGAATGGTTTAAAAGCATAACTAACACACACTATGTGCTCAAGCATCACAGGAAGAGTCCTCAAGCCTAATTCAATATATATATACATATATATACATATATATTATATAAAAGCACACCAAGCTAATTCCTATATTTGGAGTCCCATGGTAAGTTTTTATTTTTAAAGTGTGATTCTTAAATAAATTAATAAGGTGTAATGCTTTGTTTACTAGACCTACGCATGAAGACCCGGTCTAGTTTCCATAATGAACATATTCCTGGTCCTATTTTCTTATGTTCATTTGTGGCAGGGCATGACGGTCGAAACTAATTGTTCTAAGTATGCTACCAAACAAATACCAACCTGGAAATACGCGACCTCGAGGCAGGTTTTGTTTTCCTGTTTTGTTTGGATTCCTGATGACACAATAACTATTTGGCACTAACCAATTTCTGCCCATTACTAACAAAAATAGTTTTCCACATGCATAAACATCATTTTCCCCAAGAAAGCGCCTAACCATTTTCAAGAGACTGAATGTCCCAGCCAGAGTCCAGATGCCTAGTAAACATCTGCTAGATCTGGGGTACCACCCCACGTCAGTGCACAAGGACCTGACAAGGCCATCTCTGAACCGAATGAGATGAAACACAGGACCTCACGCTCCAACACTGGCCAGATGGCTTTGGTCATAAAGGTCATGGGTGTTTTTAAACCACCGCGTAAGCGTGAATTGAATGTTTGGGATGCCACCGCATCCCCTGCACAGGAGGAGGGCAGGAGCACCTCTGGTCCCTCCCCACCATGGGGTGGCAGGAGCATCTCTGGCTCCTTCTCAAGGGAAGTGTTCCGGGCGTGGGAGTGGGGGGCGCGCGAGTGGGGCGCGAGGAGCCCAGAGCTCGGGAGCCCGCAGCCTGGAGCTGGCGTGGGATGAGGCCTGGCTGCGAGGCGCGGGCCAGCGGACCTCGGAGACCGCGGGTGGGGGGTGTGGACCGCGCCCACCCGGTGCGCAGGTCGCCTTCATCCCCGCCGCTCCCCGAGGCCACCCCTTGCCCCTCCCCCACCCGGACCCCGGACCTGCCGGACCCCGGGCCCAGCGCCGGCGCCTCCTCCGGGCCTTGAGGACGCGGGCCAGGCCAGCGCTGGTGGCGGCAGCCGGGTGCAGCAGTTGGGCCGCGGCCTGCGCCCAGGGCTGGGTGGGAGCCCTCGCCAGGCGCGCACAATGCGGGGCCGCGGACTCACCGGAGGGGGACGAGGACGCTTCTAGGGACCGCCGTGACAGCGCCGGAAACCGCGCCTGGCCCGGGATCAGGTCCGCGGGCGGCGTCCGAGGCGACTGGGACTGCGCCGCCGTCTACCCGGCTCCGGACCTGGCCCCCGTGCCGCCGCGCCCCGCTGCGCGCCCGGCGTCCGAGGCGACTGGGACTGCGCCGCCGTC